CATAAACTAAAGGATGAAGTGTTTTCAGATCCAACAACGTTCTTCAACTCTGACCCTCTTTCCATTGAGGAAACTATTTAATAAGTACAGCATGGTAGCATATCATCTGAAGTTGCAGTGGGACTGATAGATATGCCTTCTGTCCAAATAAAACAAAGCAGGGCTTTGGCTTTTTTGACCATGGGACATTCTTCCAGAAAGAAGGATTGCTGGGAACAGATGGGATCCACCTGACAAGGAGAGGGAAGAGCATCTTTGCAGACGGGCTCGCTAACTTAGTGAGGAGGGCTTTAAACTAGGTTTGCCAGGGGATAAAGACCAAAGCCCTGAGGTAAGTGGGAGACCTGGAGGAAGAGCAAGCAGGATGCAGCAAGGGGGCGGGAGTGCGGGGGGGCTCTCATACTTCCTGAGAAATCAGGGCAATTAACTAGTTACCTCAGGTGCTTGTACACGAATGCATGAAGCCTGGGAAACAAGCAGGAAGAACTGGAAGTCCTTGCAGTCATGGAACTATGATGTGATCAAAACAACAGAGACTTGGTGGGAGTGCACATGACTGGAGCACTGTCATGGATGGGTACAAACTGTTCAGGAAGAACAGGCAGGGGAGAAGAGGAGGAGGAGTTGCACTTTATGGAAAGGGAGCCATTTGATTGTTCAGACCTCCAATATGAAACTGGAGATTGACCTTAACCCAGAGTCTCTCAGCAGGCCTGAGGGGAGAGCAACAAGGGTGACATTGTAATGGGAGTCTACTACAGACCACCAGACCAGGAGGAAGTTGTGGATGAGGCTTTCTTTAAATAGCTAGCAGAAATTTCCTGATTACAGGACCTGGTTTTCATGGGGGACTTCAATCACCCTGAAGTCTGCTGGGAGGGCAATACAGCAGTGCATAGGCAATCCAGGAAGTTTTTGGAGAATACTGGGGACAAGTTCCTGGTGCAAGTGGTGAAGTGGCAAATTAGGGGTCATGCTTTTCTTGACCTGCTGCTCACAAACAGGGATGAACTGCTGGGAATTTAGTAGTAGATGGCAACTTGGGCAGCAGTGGCCATGAGATGACAGAGTTCAGTATCCTGAGGAAAGGAAGGAGGGAGAGCAGCAGAGTAAGGGAGCTGAACTTCAGAAGAGCAAACTTTGACTCACTCAGGGAACTCACGGGAAGGATCCCCTGGGAAGCCAGTCTAAGGGGAACAGGAGTCTGGAAGAGCTGGCTGTACTTTGACAAGCCTTACTGAGAGTGCAGGAACAAACCATCCCAATGTGCAGGAAGACTAGCAAGAACAGCAGAAGGCCAGCTTGGCTTAGCAGGGAACCCTTCAGCAAACTAAATCACAAAAGGCTAGCTTATTAGAAGTGGAAACTTGGACAAATAACTAGGGAAGAATATAAGAGCGTTGCTCGGGCATGCATGGATGAAATCAGGAAAGCCACAGCGCAATTGGAGTTGCAGCTAACAAAGGGATGTGAAAGGTAACAAGAAGGGTTTCTACAAGTATGTTGGTAGCAAGAGGAAGATCAGGGAAAGTGTGGGTCCTTTACTGCAGGGTTTCCCAACCACCGGGCCACAGCCGTGAAGGGTTGGCTGTCAGGCCATGGCACTAGCCCCGTTTCTGTAGACCCCCGCGATGAGGGAGGGAGTGGGGCTGCTGGGGCTGAAGCAGGCACAGGACGGAGCTGTAGTTTGCCTGGGAGGTGTAGGCAGCTCCTGCCGCTGCGTGCATCCTGGAAGGGCATGGGGGACCGGTGGGTAAGGTGCCCCTGGATTTGCGCAGGGTAGGCCGGGCTGGGGCCAGTACAGTGCAGGACTATTCCTGGGAGGAGTGCAGGACAGAGCTGCAGCTTGTCTGGGAGGCGTGGGCGGCTTCTGCCACCATGCACTGCTCATCCAGTGCTCGCCTGTTCATATGGCAGCTCCCACTGCTGCTCTGACCGCTTGTCTGGGAGGGCTTGGTGGGAGGGCATGTACCCTCAGATCTGCACGGGGCAGGCAGGGCGGGTCGGGGCTGCACTCCAGGCAGGCAGCGGCAGCACTGGGAGTGGGGGTTATGGCGATGGGTGACTGCTATCCTCTTCTTATGGTCCTCCAGAGCTGTTAATGTAGTGACTGGGAATTTTGATGTAGTGACATCAGGAATAGCCAAGCACAGACTAACCATGGCACTTCCCCCAGTACTTTATTTGGAAGGGGCAGGGAGGTGAGCAGAATGATGTCCCTTCACCCCCATCCCCTGCAGGAATCTTTGCTATGAGAGGTTCAGCATTTCATCCAGTAGCATATCTGGGTGGGGAGGAGGAGGAGGGAACAGGGCACTAGGAGTTGCTCCCTGGAAGCCCTAGCCATGGGGGTTGTTGCATCTGGTGTCCCCCAGTAGCAGCAGCCCGAGACAAAGCTGCTACAGCAGCAGCCGCAGCTGTTGCTTGAGTGCAAAGAGCAGGGACAGGTAAGACTGCCCTGTCCCTGGCAATGGTCTGTCTAATCCTTACTCCTCCTGCCCCAGACACAAAAGGAGCTAACTATTTCTCTGCATCTGTTTCTGAAAAACCACAACATGAATTTAGAGTTTTGGTGATAAATTATAAAATGGTAGAGCCTGATAACTGTCAAGAAAAGGGAAAATGTCTATGTGATGCAGGGCAGCATGCACACTAGAAGCAGAAGCAGTATAGCCATCTTAGTGCAATGCTGCATCAAAGTTAATAAATACATGCTGCTATGTCTGACCTTATTAGGTACATCAGTGCTGCCTATACTGCTTTCAGTTCTGAAGCTTGCATGAGCAGAGCTAGTATCTCAGCATAAGTGCTGGCTTGGGCCACAATGACATATTCAGTGTGCAAAGAGGTCACAGAACTACCAGAACTGTGATTTGCAGGGAGGATGAGAATGGTTTATTGGTAACTGGACAGGAGATTGTGGGTTAAGATGTATGAGGGCTAAGCTAGGATGTCAGATAAAAACTTTAAAATACAATGAAATAACGCATGAACTTTAGAGCAACAGCTGCATAGGTAAAGACTGGAAGGTGCCAAAGGTTCAGCAATTAGGAAGAAAATTACATAGACAGACACAACAAAACTCATGAATAACATTTCAGACATAGCCAAAAAACAGAGAAAGCAGCCTCTCTCAATTCCTCTTCTATAGAGTACCCAGTCACTCTCCCAATACTACATCTTCTGCAACCTTTATCTAACAGATTCTAATACTTTATTTGTGAAAATTCCAGACTATTTGCAGTTAAAGATTTTTTAAAAATTACTTTTTTCCTCTTCGTATGATCCTCCAGAGCTGCTACTGTACCGAGATTCTAGCCTGTGATGCTGGCGGTTCAGATTACTGTTCAATCCACTGTAGATGTCTAGGTGTACATAGCTGCAGGAATGAACACACTAGTGCTAGTAACAGGCATATTTATGGTAAAATGATTTAGCTATTCAGTGCTTTAGTGTAAGATAGCTCATTTCAAGGTAACTATATATAATGCAAAAGAATTTATCAGCAAAGACCATTCATAAAAAAATATTTCATGTAGTAGCAAATTAAACTTCGTCCCTCTATTAAATCTGTCAGGAACTGATTCCACATTGCAGTAATGCCAGCTTAGGCATCTCAACTAGTCAGTTCACTGTGAAAATATATTCCATCAGAACAACTGCATTAATATGTAGCTGAATACGATGTTTATGTAATGTGCATATTCAATAATACATACATAATAAATTATGCTTTTGTAGTAACACCATAAGCACTTACTGACTTTCTTAAATGTTAATATTAGATCTTATTGGTCAAAGGTAAATATTAACTGAAGTAAAACCAAGGTTAATCATTTCAAAGGAAATGAGAGAGTTATGACTTCAGAGTTTAATAGACATTTTGCAAATCCCAATGAGCTTACTCAAGCTGATCTTACTCTTCACTAAAACAGTGAAGTCAATATTGACGTCTAGTGAAGAGCAAGATCAGCTTGAATTAGCACACCTATTCATGACAAAAATCCTCATTTCACTTCATACTGTAGAGAAGGGCTGCATGATGAACTCTAAAAGCACAATTTCCAAAGACAGGAAGACTCCATTGGCACCAGCACTTAGGCTACTTTAAAAGGACCCAGCACTCCATATGCCCCAAAGGGCCATATCATGGACCAGATCACAGAAAGCACCACTGTAGATACCTGGATAATGTATCTGATAATGTAGCTGAGAAAGGCTGTGAGAGTTTAGCCAGACCTTCTGAACTGTTCAAGTTACCTTGAAGATCTCTACAGCCCACAGGGCAGCAGGGCAAGAGAGTATCTACAAGCCATCTTTTATTTCCCCCTTCCTTGTGGATTTCGAGTTTGGTGCTGCACCTCTTAAAGGCACAATTCAGAATATTACAATTAACGTCTTCCCTAAAAATAGCTGTAAATCATGAAGAAAGTTATACCTGTATGAGTATTAGCATTCTGGAATAAGAGTGTCCACACAGGAACTTATACTAGTATACATAAATAGTTAAAATTCTTGCAGAACAGGGCTTGGCAACACTTTTAGCTGAAGTGTCGAAAAAACTTCAACATCTACTTTGTAAGGTACCAGAGTGCTGGCATGCTAGAAAAACACAACTGGGGTTAGGGGTAGGTGGCAGGACACATTGAATATTAATATAGTTAATAATCATACATGTTGGGGGGGGGTTGTTTTGTTTGTTTGTTTTTACAGTAAATACCAGCTTTTCTAAAAATTCTAAAGCTGGTGACAATAATATAAAATAATAAATAAAACAAAACTTCATATACTACCTTTGCTGTTGTGTATTCTTTTTTTTTGTTAAGCATGTTGTGATGAAGGAGAGAGAGAAAGAAGAAAAAAACAGGACAGAGAAAATGGAGAGAGAGAAAGAGGGAAAGAAAGGAAAAACGAAAGAGAGAAAGAAAAGAGAAAAAAGGAGGAGGGAGAACAAACCAGACACACATGAACACACACGGAGAACCAGACACACTGAGAACCACACATGCACGCACACAGAGAACCACACATGCACGCACACAGAGAACCAAACATGTGCACAGTAGAACCACGTGTGCAAATAGAACCAGACACACGTGCACACATGCCCAGAACCAGACACACAGATGCACATGCACACAGAAAACCAGACGCACAGAACCAGATACACGCGTGCAACCAGGCTGCTGGGCTGCAGGACAAAGACTGACCTGATGATGTCCTGGGCCCGCCACAGCCCTTGTGCTTCTCTGGGGAGCTGGCCCTTGGCTACAGTGGGAAGGAGGCAGCGCAACAGGCTGGGAGGAGGGGAGTGGGGGCTGCACAATCCTGGCCTCACTACTCTCACCTCAGGCTCTTCTCAGCCAAGTGGCTCCGATGCCGCTGCAGCAAGGAGCGGAGTCGATGGTGCTGCTCCCTGCCCCGCAAGCTGCGGCTGCCCCTGGTATGGCAGGGCTGGTGGCCCCCCGTCCCACAGTGCCCCCCTGTTCTCCCCACCCTTTGCTTCCCCACGTGCAGGCACATCCCTCCCTGGCAGCCTGAGGGAGGATGCATCAGGGCAGCCCAGGCAGAGTGATAGTAGGTGCTGCTAGGCAGGAGGAGGCAGGGGTGTTTGGAGCCTGCCTCACTGGCAGTGGTACAGCGAGAGCTGTAGAAGGGGCTTCTCCCCTGCCCCTAATAGTAGCTCCTCCTGAGGGCTCCTCAGGCAGCATCTCCTCCTGAGTCTAAACAGCCGAGAGCAGCAACTTAAAAAAAAAAGAAAAATTTAAACAATTTCTCTGGCACACCTCCGGATGTGCCAAAGAAAATATCTCCACATGCCACTAATTGGCATACATGCTGGGGGCTGCCTATCCCTGTTATAGAATAAGAGTTCATACTCTCTTACTTATTACTGGTAAACAAACTGGTTTAATTATTCCAGTACAATTAGGCTCGTAAAGTTCCTGTGCAGACAAACCCTTAAAAATGCCACATACTCTATCACATTGACAGTGTAGTAGCATTATTTTAAGAGCTTTCGTCGATCTCAACAGAAGTGCCACACAAAACTAGTCCTAGTATTCTAAATACAAAAATACAATAGAGATCAATAAGTTATATACTGCTGATCCAATAAAACAATCAGAAAAGTGATTTGCACATGTGATGTTTGACTGCAAATCTAATATTGTACACTGCAAACTTAAGGGTATGTCTATACTGCAGTTAAGGTGTGACTATCACAAAGATAAACACATATAAGCCTAGCTTTAACCTATCTAGATTAGGCAGTAATAACTACGTAGCCACAACTGTATGAAGACTGGTAATCACCACAACACTTATTCAGCTTTTCAGGTGGGTTTTGCAGCCAGTATTGAATTTCATGCTCTCATGGCTGTCTTGTTGATGGCTCCTGAGTCAACCAGTTTAAAACTGAATACAAGCATGTCTATGTAAGATGCAGTCACACCTTACTTGCAATGTAGACACAGTACAAATCATCCGGATGCAGTTTAGTTGCATTAGTTACCAGGTTAGTTGCAATAGTAATCTAGGTATTTTTGCTTTAATACTTACTTCTCCTCAATACTGTCTTTAGCATGCTTATTCTCAGGATTGCTATCTGTGGGAGCTACCATTGTATTGCTACTGGAAGTGGTACCTGTAAATTAAGGACAAGGAGAAAAAAGTTAAGAGTAACTTGAAAGGGGAATTCCCTTCCCTCCAAACACAAACAAAACAATACAAAAACAACCTTAAGCAATGCATAAGGATTGTTGTAAATTAATTTATCTGCAAATCCTGGGTCTATATTTTCTTTGAACTGGGCCCCTGGCACACGTTCAGTTAAAGGCACCATGAGATCTGACCCCTGATCCCAACTTGGGGAAGGGGCAGAGCTAATTTGTGGTACTGAAAAGATTGCTTCCCCCCCTTCCCCCCCACTGCTCTCTTGCATACATCTCTAAAATGTAGGTTTCAGTGGGATCTGCCTCAACAGTTAGTTCAGCATGTAACGAATTAGAACAGAAAAAACTTAAACCTGTACTGAGGCTGCTATAAATTATTTCTTGTTAGGATGGACCTGAAGTCTGTCTATAAAATATGGGACTTTACTGAAAAGAAATTTGGAACCTTAGTACAGCTGCTTCTGCCATTCCCTGTACAATGAAGCATGTCAAATTTTAAATTGTGTGCAATGTGTTAACTTTCCCTCCACAAACCTTTTCACTGTTTCAGGAACAAATGTTTATAAGTTATTATTATTATTTAATGCTATATGTATGTTAGGTGCTTTACAGATAGACAAGATGACATGCGTGAGATTATGTGCTGAACCTCAGAGAGGCAAAGCACAGAATTTATTCACTGTTCAGAGTAAAGAGAAGTAGCTATTATGGTTGCCCAGGCTGCTCTGAAGAGCTCTCTTCCACAGAGCTCAGTGTAAACCAGGATTGTGCAGGTAGCATTTAAGTGTCCTTTTAAATCTTCAGATTCTTTTTTGTTGGATTCAAGAAGAGTAAGTCCCTAGATCCATTGGCCCCACCTTAATTTAATTTGCCTATGTGCCCATGCCATTAAATTACCAACTTAAAATAAATCTATATAAGCTTATGTAAGAATTCCTGCATGTTCAACTTATTAAAAAAGAAAAAGAGAGCAAATATTGAGTGTAGACAAGACCCAGCAGACAAGATGCATGCAAAATTGATGCGTGCTAAATCAGTAATCTTTTAAAGTCAATCTTCTATTCTTTAACTTTAGTGAGAACTTCAGGTGCACAAAAATGGCAAGGTAATAAAATTTATTTTTAATTAGAGACTATATTTTGTATCTATTATGGAATCAGAAAAAATAAATGCCTTAAACTTTGATCATACAAGTTATAAGATGACCATAACAGCTTTGTGGGGAATTGTTGGCTCTGCATATTAGAGCAAATATGGGAAAGTGCTTGTTTGTAACTCCCCTGCAACTGCTTCGCTCACCACGGCCTTGAAGATAGCAGAAAAAAAAGTAGGTGCTTGATCTCCCTGAGAAAACAGAGTGCTTGCTAATTATCTTTGACTGTTTCCTCTGAGAATTTTTTTTGGCAATCATGTCCTGTGTAACAGTCTGTTTTTAAAAGCTTATATAAACTGCATGATTCTGTTTTGGAGGCGGAGACCTCCTTGTATTGCTGGTGAGTCCATGTACTCTGAGCTCTCCCCCACGGTACTGGGGATCTGAATAAAGCTTCTACTGACCTGACCCCAAAGTCTACACGTGTTTTTCCATGACACTATGTATACCCCTTTGTATTTGGGGTAACTAACTCACAATTATATATTAACCTCTGAAATACAGTAATAACCCAGTAAAATTAATTTTTACCTGAAGTGACAGAAGGAATTTTGTAACTGGAAGTGATGCGGTAATATGGTGGATTATCCATATGAGTGACTCCAGAGCTGACTGGATCTGTAAGCTGTAGTTCACTCACCAGTTCTTCCAATAACTGCATTGTTTTATCTCTACCCAAATAGACAATTACTTTCTTTACCTACAATTAAAGAATGAAAGGCAAATTTAATGTCTTATTTTAGTAACTTATGTTTAAAAACAGGGAAAAAAAATACTATGAGAGGCACACCATAAGCCTTTCCCTTTAGAAACACACCATCTATTTCTTATTGTAAGGGAAGACTTGCATAACCCATTCTAGTTTAATAATACAGGCAAGAGCTATCTAAGCAGTTCTAGATTATTAACTGCAATAAATATTAGAACTATGACAGAGATAAGATGCTTTACTGAAATTTCATAAAAGTAAAAAAAAAAATCTAATGTCCTTACTTGCAAGATGTTGGTTTATTAATACAAACATGTTTAAAGTTTTATATAATTGGATTTTTCACCATTTTTGCCAGAGTTTATATTTTTCTAATTCATTTTAAATGGAATATGAAAACGCATGGTTTTTAACCAATTTCACTTTCAGGTTCTCCTGATTAAATAGAACAAGTATAAAGTGGTAGATGGATGGAGTAGACAACCTTCTGTGCCTTTTCTACCCCTATGACATTATGATCCATACAGTAAATTAATAATGTCTTAAGATCATAGAAAAGCAGGGCTGGAAGGACTTTATGGGGTCCCCTAGTCCAGCCCACTGCTCAAGGCAGGAACATTCCCGACTAAGCCATCCCAGCCAAGTGTCTGTCTAACTGGCTCTTGACAATATCCAGAGATGGAGATTTCAAAACTTTTCTAGGTAGCTGGATTCAATGCTTGACCACTCTCCTAGTCAGAAAGTGTTTCCTAATCTCCAACCTAAATTTCCTCTGCTGGAATTTGAAGCCATTGCTCCTAAGTCTGTTCCCTACAGGGACAGAAAAAGCCCATCTTTTCTCTGCTAAAAGGTCCTAACCACTTTTGTCACTCTGTGCTGCATTCTTACCAATCTGTTCACATCCTTCCTGAAGTGGAAGACACAAAACTGGACACAGTACTCCAGATGAGGCCTCACCTGTACTGAATAGCACAGAAGAATCACTTCCCTTGATTTGCAAGACCCTCCTGTTAATACCCAGTATACTGTGGGCTTTTCTTTTCTTTTTTTTGAGAACAAGAACAAACTTTTGGCTCATATTCAGCACTGTCCTTCTCTGAAGTACTACAGCCTAGCCCGTCATTCCCCATCTGTATTTGTGCATTCAGATATCCAATCCCAAGTGCAGGACTTTGCACTTGTCTTTGTTGAATCTCATCTGACTGACTGCAGACTCCAACCTATCTAGGTCATTCTGAATCCTAGCCCAGCCCTCTAGAGTGTTTGCAACTCCACCCAATTTGGAGTCATCCACAAATCTATTAAGCATGTACTCAGTTCTATGGTTCAAATCACAAAGATATTAAACAATACTGAACTCAGGACAGACCCTGGACAACCCACTTGATGTCTCCTCCCAGCCACACATCGAGCCATTGATGACTATTCGTTGAGCACATGATCCAACTAGTTATGTACCCACCTTACAATACTTTCATCTAGTCTGTATATCATTAGCCCCTTAATGAGAATGTCATGGGAGACCATGTCAAAAGCTTTACTGAAGTGAAGGTATATCATTGTCGCAGAGCACCTCGGTGCTCTGCTCCTAGAGAGGAGAAACTGCCAGGGAGAGAGAGAGAGCCCTGGCAGGTCATAACGAGCCCAGCGGAGTGTTGCCAGGGTAACGAGCCCAGCTGCGAGTTGCCGGGGCAACTAAGGAGAGCCAGCTGCCTGTAGGAGGCAGGGCCTGGCCCTTATAAAGCCCAGGGCTGAGGCCAGGCTGGCAGTTCCCTGCCAGCAGCCAGAGGGGCAGGAGCTCCTGGAGCTAGGAGGTGAGCGATGTAGGAACCGCTCTAGCTGAGAGAAGTATGGCAGCTCTGAGAGGTTTGAGCACCATGGTTTAGCCAGGCGGCTGGGAGTTAAGTTGTTACAGCCAGAGAGCATGTGTTTAAGTTATAGCAAGTTGTATGCGGGGTACGTAGACCCCAGCCCCAGAGAGGGGCAGCTATGAGATGCCCCAGAGGGGGCATGACGAGCTCCAGAAGAGGGCACTAGCGCAACCAGTGAGTTGCGGGCGGGGAACAGACCCCGGGTTGTATGCGGGGTACGTAGACCCCAGCCCCAGAGAGGGGCAGCTAGGAGATGCCCCAGAGGGGGCATGACGAGCCCCAGAAGAGGGCACTAGCGCAACCAGTGGGTTGCGGGCGGGGAACAGACCCCGGGTTGTATGCAGGGTACGTAGACCCCAGCCCCAGAGTGGGGCAGTATTGAGAAGCCCGAGGTGGGCACGGCAAGCCCCAAAGAGGGGGAGTGCCATATTGGTCTATTGAGAAGCCCGAGGTGGGCACAGTGAGCCCCGAAGAGGGGGAGCGCCATTGTAGAGAGAGCCTGGGAAGCGGGCGTGCAGACACACCAACGTCTATTACATCAGCGAGGCTTGGGGCGTGGTATTAGGGGCTGGTAGGAGCCACGCGTAGCCCATACGGCTAGGGTGCCTGAGGAGCACCCATTATACTGGGGGACCCCCAGGGGGTCCGAGAACATACGGGGACAGAGGTCCCGGCTATCCGTGCCCAGGGAGTCGTAAGGCAGCCTCCCAACCTTATTCAACAGCAAAGACATGGCGGGCTAGAATCGAGGGTGCCCTTGGGCCGAATTGGCACGGAGAGAGGGCCTTAAGGAGATCACGGCCCTCCTGACGGACCCCGCCGTGACAACCATGTCTACTGTTCTCCTTCATCCACAGAGCCTGTCCGCTCCTGATAGAAGGAAATCAGGTTGGTCAGACATGACATGATCTTGGTGAATCTGTGGTGGTTCTTCCTGATCACTTTGTTCTCCTCTAGGTGCTACACAACAGATTCCTTGAGAACCTGCTCCATAATCTTGCCAGGTATTGAGGTCAGACTGACAGGTCTGTAATTCCACAGATCTATGATTCTATCCTCCTTACCTTTCTTAAAAATGGGCACTATATTTGCCCTTTTCCAATCATAGGGCCTCTCACCCAACTCTCCATGAGTTCTCAAATAGGATAGCCAATGGCTGTGAAATTACATCAGTCAACTCCTTTAGTAACTTGGGGTGAATCCCAACTGGCCCTGCTGCTGACTTGTTACATTGGGACAGCTTGCTTCTGCACCCTTATTATGGCCTCTTTAAAGTGCAGCCAGCATTCCTGGGCTCCTTTTCCCTTCAGACTTGCTTCCCAGGGGAACTTGCCCACCAGTTCCCTGAGTTTATTAAATCTATTTTTCTGAAGTCCACTACCTTTATGCTACTGGTCTCCCTCCTTCCTCTTCTTAGGATCTTGAACTCTGTGTCATGTCAGGGTCCCTGTCACCCAGGTTACCTTCCACATTCACATTCTTAATTACTTCCTCCTTGCTTGTGAGCAGCAAGTCAAGAGCTTCTCCCCAGTTGCCTTCTCTATCATCTGCATCAAAAAGTCATCTCCGATACATTCTAAGAATCTGCCTACCTGTCCTTCTTGAACAAGTTGTGCCCATCTATGACAGCACTTCAGTCATGTGAACTTTCCCACCATACCTCTGTAATCCCAATAACATCATAATTCTGTGATTGTATGAGAACTTACAAGTATTCCTATTTAGTCTCCAGGCTTCTCACGTTAGTATATAAGCATTTCAGGTATCTAACTGATTGTCCTATCTTCTTCCTGAGAACAGTGCTAAGGCTTCCACCATTGCTTCCCCTTACTAAGTTTTATCCAGGTCTTCTAACTCTTTACTTAACTCTTGGCTTTTCTACCATCCCTCAGTGAACCCAGTTTAAAGCCTCCCTCACTAGATTAGGAAACCTGTACATGAAGACACTCTTCCTTCTCATTTGTTCATCTACTTGATAATCCCTGGCTGACATGGTTTATTCAAGGATATTACCACCCACAGCACTACAGAGCAGGTGTTCCCTAGGAAGTCTTAAAACACATAAGTGCCAAAGTTGGTATAGAGCCATCTCGAGGATGAGACTATAACTAACTTAACTATGTCCTCCATGGCTTTCCTTCTTAGGACATGTAAAAGAAACTGGGTATAAATGAAACTCTGACCTAAATTTTTGTTGAACAAAACATTGTATTTATTGTTGCCAAAATTACAAGACATTTTCCCTTTGAAAGTGTGACAAGAAGGATCAATCTAGACTGATCAAGGGAAAAATGACTGCATTACTTTTTGATAACAGGCTACAGGTATTATCATTATCACAGGCCAACTAGGTAAAATTCAAAAGAAAAAAAATCAAATTACATATAAGCAAAAGTTTACTACCATCACATTAAGCCAAAAGGCAGAGAGATGTGAAGAATGGGAACAGACACTATAGTTGCTTGCTAGCTTTGTATCTACACATGTGAACATATACTGAAAAGTAGAAAACATTTTGCAGTTCTCAGGTGTCATGCTGCAATTCACTAGGGATGGACAACCTGTGTCATGTGTGTCACTTATGGCAGAAGGAACCACTGAGTGGTATGCAAGGCTTGGGCTGGTAGGAATGTTATCTTTAACATGGCAGCTGTGCCAGTTCCCTTTGCTACAGCAGGGGCAGCTCAGCTATAGAAGCTGGGCAGCCCTGCACTCTTTAGTGTATGGTGGGAAGGGGTTAAACAGAATCACAACATCCCCCCACCACCCTCCAGTATTTTTGTCATGCAAGGCACAGCACCTTACCCAGTAGTAAAGGGGAAGCAAACAAGGCACCAGGGAGCACCCATGGGAACCCACCTTGTGGGTCTGCTGCAGCTAGCTGTAGAGCTGGCAGCAGGATCAGAGTGGTCTATTTAATAATCTTCAATGAAGAGTTGCTACACATCAAATCAAAATTTAAAAGTAAGGGTATGATGGAGAACTGCAGTATCAAACACTTACATAAGGCAAGAGACTTGGCTCACTATTCACTCCACAGATGCTGATCAAAAAGTGCAGAATTATTTTCAGATTCTTTGGCCAGCTGTCTGCTAGAGTAGTCCAGACATTTTCTATCTCTGACCATGCCACTTCATCACCATACTAGAAAACAAAATTAGGATATCCTTATGTAAATTCTGATAACAATACCACAATAACTACAGATTAAGGATCTTCCACCAAATAAATCAAGCAGAAGGTAGGAAACAGTGACACCTTGGAGACTTAACTAGCTCACAGAGGCAGCAGTGGTGGCAGTGGCAGTAGGGCAAGCAGCTGCAGACCAGGTGGCATCTCACTGCCATGGCAGCAGGCCAAGAGGCAGAAGGACAAGCTAGGGCTGCATGGGCACAGTCCTCACTTGCTCCTCCTCCCTTCCCAACCCTGCTGCTGATGGCCATGTCCACAGGGGTCCCAGGGCCTTGGCAACTCATGCTCACCCCTGACCACAACCACTGAACTCCCTGGTACATTGGTAGCTTAGCAGGCCACATGGAATGGCTCTGTATGTTTGCTTTAGCCGTTGTCATACACCAAAGCTTCCATGTGTGCTCCTCCTTTTTAATACATTCCTCATGTTTATTGGAGGATCACTACAGCAAGCAAAGTAACAAGTTGTGTACAAAACATGCCTGCCAGCTATTCAAATTTGACTGGAACTTTTCTGAGTTTAACCAATTCATTCCATCTACTGACAGTCCTGACCAATGTTGCGGAGACTTGTGGCTGCCAAGTTCCAGAGATATTTAATTGTGAAATGCAACCTCTCCCTACTAAGAGCTAGTAATGCTAGAACTCACTCTTACCTTCACCTTATCCCTGTTGAGTCTGCTGTAATAGGAAAAATAACTGATACTGGGAAAGTGGACAGATAACTACCAGCAACAGGATCTACAAATCTACCTTACTTAATGTTGCAGAGATTAGAAGAGATAGGAGAGGAAAGATCCCCTCCACCAACATTCACAGAACCTAGCGTTTCTGGGGAAGGGGACAGATGCAGTCTGGGATGCAGTCAGTTTACCTGAAGGCCAGAAGGGAAAGAATGACTGAGGAGAAAATACAGCAAGAGAGGACACAAACAACAAAAAACCTCACAATCTGGAGAAACCAACCTGATTTTCAATATTTTTATAATTATAATTATATGAACGGATCATCTGTTTACCTAGAAAGCTACACTTTGGGACAGCAGTTTGGAACCACAGATCATTGAGATAGTCCAATTTAAAACAACCTTGCATGCAATGAACTTCATTTAATATTCCTCAGAACGCACACAAAAGCTTTTTTCTAGACACCTGTTTATTTGGAGAACTGGTTTTTGAAAATGATTTTTGCATAAACAAAGGAAGAATTTTCTGCTACTTAAGGCAGCTTGCCAATTAAAACTAATTGGTATCAAGCGCCCTACAGAGTATCTCCTCCGACTCTTGATTTAACAACCCAGTGAAGCAAATAATATGGAACACTATATGATTGATGTTTACCTTTGCTGTCATATACATCAGATTATTTAAAACCATAGCAGTAGCCTGTGGTGATCCCCAGCCTTCTCCTCGTAGCCAGCGTCTGCTGTTCACCATTAGCTCTCTGTCTTTCAAGGAATCATCTTCATCTTCATCTTGTCGTCGGATGGTTGGCAATGGTTTCAAATCTACCAACTCAATGTTGTTCATCCATGGTAGCAAATAATGTAGCATCACCTGTCTTCCAGCAGGATGTGCTGTTTGAATTCGCTGGCTTACCTCTGTCATTTAAAGTAAATTGCATATATAAAAATGCAAATCTGTAAATATTACTAGAAATGTTTCTGTATGACATATTTATAGTTTCAGTAATTCACACTAAACTTTTGTTTAAACAACTAGAACAACTTTTTCCCAATAATCCTAATAAAAGCAATGGGTTTCAATTAAATGGATTCTTTGCTACACAAAATTACATTTTAAAGGTCAAATACTGCGGATAATAAGTTTCCATTTTAAACTGTAGTAAAATGTTCTTTGTTAAATAAATGTGTGTTAATTAAAAATAAACAGAAAACCAATTAATGTGTTGTTTTCATATTAGTAAATTAAAAAGAAATAAGGAAAACAGTTTTGTCATTGTTTTTTCATTTTATAACTGACCGAGTTTGTTAAACTAAGAGGAACTTCTTAGTATCTCTAAAATTGGTATGGGTCTCGAGTCTGTAGAGGCTTACACATATACTTGAAATCAGCAGGTGAAATCCTGGCCCCCTTAAGTCAATGGCAAAACTCCCATTGACTTCAAGAGGGCCAAGATTTTACCTAGTATGTAAAATTAGGCATGTGCATTAATATTCCCAGGATTAGTGCTTTAACAAATACATGTGACTTCATGATTCCATCAGTTCAAAGAATAGCTGTCCTTTCTCTACAGAAAACTTAATAAAGCAGTCTCTTTCCTTAAGATAACCAGTCTTAGTGGCAGCTCAAAAATACGTTAAGAACAAAATAAAGAATGTTTTACTGTGTAGTTTCATAATCTTTCTAAAGGAATTGCCTACATTCGTCTGTATAGCTTTGCAGAGACCTCAGAAAGACTTGTTTGAAATCTAGACTTAAAAAATAAAAAATATATTATTTGGGCACTGCTCCCGCATGCTAGGTATCCAACCAGGGATAGCTCGCATATTCAGCTGTGCTCTCGAGTCTTCAGCAGCCTGGGGAGTCTGCAGGGCATGCTGGGAAGTGTACAAGGGCTTCCCCTTCCTACTGGCCTCAAGTGATGCAAGTCCCTGCTCCCCAACACACCTAACAGTGAACATCTGTTCAGTTCAAACGCACTGTAACTGATAGCGCTTTAGTAAAGTGTGGGGGTCAAAGTGCTTTTGCCATGGGCTTTTTGAATGTCTGTACTTATCCTTACGTAACAATGAAATGAACCAAAATTAAAAAAACATGGACAACTTAAAAAAATGTTTTGTACATGTCTCTCTCTCAAACTAAGACGGAGTAAGTGAAAATAACACGCAGCTATTTTATATTGGTGGTCTGCATGACCAATAAGTGAATTACAGAGACTGTAAAGGGGAACTGACATAGCCTAAATCAGTGGCTCTCAAACGTTTTAGACTTAGGGCACCCATCAGAAAATGCTGGCTCTTAGCTTCAGTCTTTTTGACTGTGGAAAAAATAACTGAGCAATTTAGTGGCTTGAAGTTGCAGCAAACTAAGTTTAGATTGGATATCTAGAGTAGTGAGGTAGTGGAACAGACTGCCTAGAGAAGTTGTAGACTCTCCATCACTGGAGGCATTCAAGAAGAGGTTGCACAGCCACAGACACTGGTCAGGGATAATCTAGGCACAGATATGCCTATGTTCTACTATAGGTATTTCCCATGCTTCTGGGCTTTGCTGGTTGCCTCCCTGCCCCCTCTTCCTGCTACATGTATCGGGGTGTTTATAAGCTGTCCTCAGAGGCACTAGGTGTTGGCTACAGTCAAGGCTGTGGACTTTGACTGGGCTGTGCCAATGGTCCTGCTAGGACCAAAGCCAAAGGTTCCTGGATAAAGGGTCTTGCTCCTCCACTCAAGGTCACGATCAATCACCATATTTGGGGTCAAAAAGGATTTTTTTCCCATGGTTAAACTGATATGGACTGATATTGGGGGGGGGGGAAGGGGGGTTGCCTCTCTCTGCAACAGGGGGGCATGTCCCTCTACCTGGGATCTTTTGAGTATATACTAACAACATTTTATAAAAGCAAGATATTGTCTGCCATACTTTCTCTGCTTTACCTGTGGCAGGTTAGATTTCATAGATATTAGGGCTGGAAAGGACCTTGGAAGATCATCAAGTCCAGACCCCCGCCTGAAGGCAGGAAGTCAGCTGGGGTCATAGGATCCCAGCAAGATAAGCATCCAAATTTTTTCTTGAAAGTGTTCAATGTAGGTGCTTGAACCACCTCCAATGGCAGGCTATTCCAGACCTTGGGGGCTCAGACAGTAAAGAAATTCTTCCTTTTGTCCAGTCTGAAACAGTCTTGCAGTAGTTTATAACCGTTCGACCTCATCATCCCTTGGGGCGCTCTGGTGAACAAACGTTCCCCCAGATACTGGTGGTCACCCCTGATAAACTTAGAGGTGGCCATCAGATCACACCTGAGCCTGCGCTTTTCCAGGCTAAAGAGCCCCATAGCTTAAAGCCTGTCGTCGTAAGGTCTGTTTTCCTGACCTCTGATCATGCGTGTGGCTCTTCTCTGGACTCTCTCAAGCTTCTCCACATCCTTTTTGAATTATGGGGCCCAAAACTGGATGCAGTACTCCAGCTGCGGCCTCACCAAGGCCAAGTACAAGGGGAGAATGACATCCCAGGATTTGCTGGAGAAGCATCTATGGATGCAAATCAGCGTTTTGGTAGCTTTACTAGCTGCAGCATCACACTG